CAACTCCGAAATAACTTTTCCATGACTGACTTCTTATTAAGGTTGTCCTCTGCTCCTTCAAATGTTGCTTTTTCTGAGGAGGCTTCTCTGACTCCCATAAAGAGAACATGCATATGTGCTCACCCCAATAGCCAATCTCTTGCCCTTTCACTCTACTCTGAGTTCCCAATAGCACTTCAAATTGCCTGAGGTTATATTTTGTATTTGTGCTTATTTGCCCTCTTTAGAATGTGAGGCTTCAGGCTGAGAGCATAGCTTAATGGCCCAGCACACTCTTAGCATGCATGAAACCCTGGGTTCAATCCCCAGCGCCAAAAAATGCATACTTGTTTCTAGCGTCATAATATAAAGCTCCAAAAAAGAATACTCATGTCTTGTTTTCTGTTATTTCCTCAGGGCAGAGCATAGTAAGCAATCAGTAAAAACTTTTTGAATAAATGTTGAAATCCTTCATGTCTGCTTACATACTAACTCTGTATTTTTCTAAGGTAGAATTAATCCCTCTTATTTATTTACTTGATTATTGCCTGAGCACTTTGTATATACTGTGTGCAGTACAGCATAGCACACAGCAGAGTGAGTTGAGCCTAATAGGTTCATCTCTTTCTCTCCTGATTAGGAACTCTTTTGATCCAGAGTCTCTCTGTGCAGCCCAGGCTGACCTGGATCTTGAGATGTAGGCCAAGCTCACCTTGAACTCACTATTCTGCTCCCTCAGCTTCTCAAGTGCTAGAATTACAGCTGTGTGCCACCACACTTGGTAATCATGAACTCTTTAACAGTAGAGATTTCTTATTACTAATGTTTATACTACCTCCATCCCTGACACCAAAGAGACACTGCCTTCCATTAATAACAGCACTGACTGCGATGTTAAACCACTGATCAGTACTGTGGCTCCTGTCCTCATGAATCTGTAGATTCTTCCTTTTCTCTGTTTCTGAATTCAGACTTTGATAAACCTGCAAGAACTTTCAAATTATAAAAAGGTAGGATGGATGGTTGGGTAGATAGTAAGACCCTTTTTAAAGAGAAGACCCATTATTTCTGTTCCCTTTTTCATATGGCAGCCCTTCACATTGTTGAAGTCATTATTACCTGCTTCATTACCACTGTAGGTCTTTTCACTAAGTTGATGCTAGGCAAACAAAACCAGGAAAAACAGATGTTCCAGTCAGAGGGAGTACTGTATACAAACACATTATTGAGAAAAGGAACATGCTCTAGTGCTACTCAGTTTCACTGAATCAAGGAGAGAGTGGCATATGGTGAATCTGGAGAGCTAGGTAGGAACTAAACCTAGCAGGGATTTATATATCCCATCATGGATCGTGGGCATTACTAGAGCAATAGGAAGCTACTGAAGAGTTTAGGCAAGGGAAAACATCAGATTTAAACAGTACAAAAGATACTGCTGGCTACAGTAGGCAAGAGATCCTAGCAAACTGTTGAAGAGGACATTACAGTTGAGTAAGAAGTGATAGAAGCTTTCTGTAGATGAGTAAGGGAGGCAAAGTCTAAAAATGCTTAGAATTTAGGATTTAAAATCAACATGATATGGTGATGTGTTTGTTCTATGAAGGAGGAAGGAGGAAAAGAAGAATGACCAAGATGATTCTTAGAGTTATCTCCTATACTGATGGATGATCATAGCATTCACTAAGATACGCCCATCATTGGCAGAAAGAATATTGGATTGGAGAGGGAAAATATGAGTGGTTTTAGTCATGCTGAATTTGAGTTGGCATTGAGAGCTCAGAGGGGAAGGATTTAATAAGCAGTTGGTTGAAGATGTCTGAAAGAGATAAAAATTTGTGAGTCATATGGTCTAAATGATGCTTAAGCCTTGGTTGCAGATGGACTGCAAGGTGAGAGTATAGTGAGGAAAAGGGCCTCAAGATCAAGCCATGAGAAACCCAACATTCAGTGGACAAAAGCAAGCAGAGATAAGAGGAACACTGGGACACTGTGTTATGGAACCCAAGAAGAAAGGAGTATGTGAACAAGGGAAGAATGGGCAACAATATCAAACGCTGCTAATAATGGGGTACAGAAAAAAGCATTGAAAACTGTCATCGGGTTTTGTGACTTGTGGTAGAATAAGATGACTGAAATCAGTTGAGTGGTTGGATAGGAATGGAAGGAAAGAAAATGTGAGTATTCATTTTCATTTAGAGAACCACAGTATGATGGAGGAGAAAAAAAAAATAAACATTTAACAAAACAATGGATGAGTTTGCCATGTCGGAGATGCTGGGGAGCACAGAAAGAGCAGCCATCAAGCTCTCCCTGGAAAGAGGGAGAAGCCAGGGAGGGCTTTGTGCAGAAATTGGTGCTTTATAGAAACCCACCATGCACTGAGTGAGTGAAGAAAATAAATTTGTCAGGAAGAGGAGAGAGTTTCCTGAGCAAAGGCAATGCATATGCAAAAGTGTGAGATTTGAGAGAGTATGTCCAGTATGTCTACTTTAGGGCTTCCAGTCTGTTTGACTTGGACTGCAGATTGCCTGAGAAACAGTGACAGGAGATTAATCTAGGAAAAGAGGCAGGGGCCAGATCTTAAAACACTGAGTGCAGTGCAAGGTATTTGTAATTTGTCATTACCAGTGCTTCTCAACTTACTTAACTGTGAATGGCAGAAGACAGTGCAGACTCTTTCTAAAGTGAATACAAACTTTTCTTTCTACATTCTAGTAGAAAGAAAACTTTTCTTTTTACATTCTAGTTTGTAATACATTCTTAACTTTTTATGTGAAAGTATCGGGTGATTTTCTGTTGGTAAAAATGAATCTAGGTATATAACTTCATGGATTTTGTGGCTTTGATGTCCCTTGCCCATTACCATGTACATCCTCACCCCCACCCCCATTTGTGAGTGTGTCTGTTTCTCACGGCCTGCGCAAGCTTGACCTCCTTCTAGGAATCTGACTGGGAGCTACAGGAGATTGAGAAAAGACAAAAGACAAACATGCAAAAATGCTGGGATCAGGTGGGCTGGGTGCTCTGATAAAGACACACAATAGCCACGACCACCTCCAGCAAGTTTATTATATACAGTGGCAAACAAGGAAGTGGGATAGTGAAGTCAGCAGAGCATCAGTTCTCAGGGTGTCGTGACCTTGTAGTTATCGGGAACAGGGGAAACTAGGTCGCTACTTTCTGCACATACTGTTCGTGTTTGAAGGTCATGGTGTAAACATCCTTGTTCTCACGCTAAGCAGCTGTGCTGCATTTTGCTCTTGCTCACTTCTGCAGCTGGGGGCTGTGCCGATCCCAGCCTGCAGATTATTTGACATGGCTGTGCTCATGTCAAATTCTCATAGACTTCTTATAATCCACTCTCCATATCTGTTGGTGATGAGCAAGGACATGACAGCCATCACCATCAGACTTGCATACAGTCAGCTCTCAGTATCCATGGGTTCTGGTCAATGGATTCAACCAACCGTGGAAAATATTTGAAGAAATAATTGTGTCTGCACTGAACATGTACAGATTTTTTTCCTTGTCATACTTTAAACAGTATTAACCACCTATTTATGTAGCATATACATTATATTGTAAGTAATGTAGAGTGGATTTCAAATAGTAGGGATATGTGTAAATTATATGTAAGTATTACACCATTTTATATAAGGGATTTGAACATCCACAGGTTTTGGTATCCACAGAGTTCTGGAATCATTCCTCCACAGAGACAGAGGGAATATATTGTACTGAACAATCAAGGATGGGTTGAAGGTGGGGCGAAAAAAACAGGTTATCTGTAATGGTCTGGGTAAGAAATATTGAGAGTCTAAACTCTAAGTGTGGAAATATTGAGATTTTGGAGATGGAATTGACATGACTGGTCACCTCATAAGATGTGAAAATGAAGACCCACTTTAGGGTGATTTCCCAGTGTTTTGCTTGGGGATCAAGATTGGGAATACTGCTCTGAGATGTTTACTGAATTGAAGGCCTGCTATGTTTTGGTAGTTGAAAGTGTGTGTGATACATTCACCAAGTGCGAAGAGATGATTTTAACTGAATCCATGAGTCTTGAAAGGACTTAGAGTAGAAGTCATTAACATATAAGTGTCAGCTAAAGCTTTGGGAGTAAATGAATTGTCTGAAAGTAGAATGCAGAGTGGTGGGAAAAGAGGGCCAAAAGAGAAATCTTGAGCAGGGTGAAAGAAAAAAAATTCTGAGGAAATGATGAGAGATCTATAAGAGAAAGAGAAGAGATCCAAGAGGGAGAAAATGATAAGGCCTGAAATAGAATTCGATGAGTCTTTGGTTATTAAAGTTATTGTGACTTCTGGGCACCGGTGGCTCACAGCTATAATTCTAGCTACTCAAGAGGCAGAGATCAAGAAGATCATGGTTCAAAGATAGCCCAAAGCAGATAGTTGTTTGGACCCTGTCTCGAAAATACCCAACACAAAAAAGGGCTGGTGGAGTAGTTCAAGTGGCAGAGTACCTGCCTGGCACCTATGAGGCCTGATTTCAAACCTCAGTACCACCAAAAAAAAAAAGTTACTGTGACCTTAGTAGATTTAGTTGGATTGGAAATTTTTCCATGCTTTCAAGAAGCTGAGCTTAGAGGGAATAGCAAGAGTAAGTGTCCTGGCTGGAAAGAGATTCAGGATCTTCAGGGATAGCTGTTATAGAAACTAAGGAAGAACCAGTATAGGGGAAGAGATTGGAAATACAATACAGTGGTAATCCCAGCTATGTGGGAAGCATAGGTAGGAAGATTACATACGGTCCTGGGGTGGTCTGGACAAAAAGCATGAGAATCTGTCTGAAAAATAACTAAAGCAAAAAGGGCTGGGGACATAGTGCAAGTGGCAAAGCATGAATACTTGAGTTCAAACTCCAGTACTGCCCAAAAAAAAAGGTAATTCTTTAAAAAATGGATGCTTTCTCAATCTCGGTTTCAAAGGTGAAATTTGTGTTTTATGGGTACATGTTTTGTATACTTAATTATTTTATTAATTGGGAGACATATTTTTTAGCCTCAGAATATTCTGCTGACAAGCGAATCTCCATTGGGTGACATTAAGATAGTTGATTTTGGCCTTTCAAGAATAATGAAGAACAGTGAAGAGCTCAGAGAAATTATGGGTACTCCAGAATATGTAGGTAAGTATCCATAAGATAGGTATTTGTATGATTTTTGTGTTTGGGTTTAGAGAACTGATATGTGACCAGATTTATCGTAGGTTTTGCCACCTACTGTATTGAAATTTTACCACCTGAAATTCATGCCTTTGGATTAAATTTAGAAATGAAAATCTTTCAAGAGTAAAGTAACCAAACTGGTGATCCCCTTCCTGCAAGGCTAAGAGTGTTTTTTGTGGGGGGTGGTTGGGTTATTTTCCTTATTGGGGTTGGGTCCCAGTACTATTGCATGTATAAACTGTACCACTGAGCTGTGACCCCCTAAACTCAAGGCTAAAAGAATTTGAAGGGATTACTTATAAAAGGAACAGAAGAAGACAAGGACCTTTGAAGAAGCTTGGATTGATAAATTGTCAACTCTGGGGTTCTATAGAATTATGGATCAGAAAGGGCATTCTGGTTGATCTGCGCAAGGTGGAGGGCTCTGGTAGGTGGAAAAAGGAGTTTAAACATGAAGAGTTAGCAGGAAAAGAGCAGCTGAAGTGATGCACCATGGTACAAATTGGGCAGAAAAAGAAGTAAGCTATGTTTGTTCTGTTTTTTGATAGACTGCAAGGAAAATGAGGAGGCGAAGGATTGTGGTTTCATTGATACTTTTTAAAAGTATCTAGTAGAGTAAGTAAGGTCATTGAATAATTTAGGGGTTGTACACAGAGAATGGCATATTAACATTTAAAAATACAGTGATGAAACAGCTCTTTATAATTGAGAGACCTTGGCTATTGCTCTAGCAAGGCAGCTTTTCAGGTGAGGCATTCAATTCAAGAAGTGCTGATGCAGGCTGTGTGGGTCATGGACATTTTGAGTGGGAGTGCCTGCATGCTGGCAGCCTGGGAGATAAGGGAGGGTGGCGCTGGGCCTGAGGGTAGGAGTCTAAAGTAGACACCAGGAGAGCCAAGGGAAAGTGGTCTCCTTTCCCAAGAAGAGGGAGGAAAGGAGACAGAGCTGAGGATACTGGGGATATGTTTTAAGAGAAAAGGGAACAGGACACAGAAAGACCAGAGGGTAGGTGGAGTCAAGAAAACAAACCTGTATGACAATGACAGTATGAAAACTAATTCCGTTTTAAAGTCCTATTTCAGACACATCCCTAATTAGGGAATAAAAGGGACCACAAGCAGAGAAACAACCTTCAAAATTATTTTTAACATTTTTTTTTGTGTGTGTGGACTAGGGTACTTAATTTTCTCTATACTGAGTGATATGTATCATGACCTCTAAGAAAAGATCAGAGATGTGACTTAACAGTATTAGAGAAAGTAGAAAACCAAATATTGTAGCCAGTTTTAACAGTTAGAACATTGTAAGCTAGAAGAAATACAGAAGACTGAAAAATGAAGGGCTATGAGCTCCAATATCAGAATAGCAGTTATTATCCTGAGTGAGGTGGGTTGTTTTGTTTTAATGTCTTCTGCTCCTGGTAAATTCTAAATTTCATACTAAGAGTCTTTTTCCTTATAAAACAGAATTGCCTTCTCTATTTTGAAAGCTTAATTCAAATAAAAACTAAAAATAAGCCAGATGCCAGTGGCTCACAACTAATCCTAGCTACTTGGGAGGCTAAGATGGGAAAGATGAGTTGAGGCCAACCTAGGCAAATAGTTTGCAAGGCTCCATCTCTAAAATAACCAGAACAAAAATGAACTGGAGGTATGACTTAAGCAGTAAAGCACCTGCTTTACTAGTGCAAAGCCCTAATTCAAACCCCAGTCCCACCAAACAAGAAAAAGAAAAAAAAAACTAGAAATAATACAAAAGCATATAGCACAGAAAAATGAAGGAACTCTTTCTTCTTTCTATCCCTGGCTTGCCTTTTCATGGGTGAGTTTATGCCCCCAAGTCACTTTGTACATGCAGAAATTAGATCTGAGTTCCAATCTGTATTGCCATCTGTGTGACATTGGTCCTTAACATGTTTGCCTAAGTCACATTCCTTTGTCCAAAAAAATGGGGCTAGAAATAATACCAGCCTCATAGGCTATTGTAAGGATTCAATGGATTTACCATTTAAAGCTCATAAATAAGTGTTTAGCACATAATAAACATTCAAAAAAGGGTCTTTCTTCTCCTAATCTTTTGCTCTGTGATCTGTTTTACTTTGAGCCCCTCCAATAATTTGGATGCCAGACATTTCATTTTTAATTCCCTAGTTGTGTCTTTTTAAGCTTTACATAATACTCATAACCTTTTATCAGTTTAGCTATTTCAGAACTCAGAATTGAGGAAATTATCATACCTAACACTTCTCTCCTAAACTCTTCTTCCTCCTTTAAATTCAGTGGCTATCCCAAACTATTAGTAGATATGTGAACTGAAGTACTTAGTTTTTTCCGAGAATTAGAACATTTCCTTATTAGAACAATTTCTTATTGTAATTACCACAATTTTCTAGTCTTTGTTCTATTTTTACATGAATTCAGTAGTTATTGCCTGTGTCTGTTTATATACTTTAGAAAAAAATCATCACTGCTTAACTGAATTATGAGATTTTTGTTTTCAAGGATAATACAGAATTTCTCCTGAGTCTTTGCGTATTTGCAAATGTCTATTACTTTTATGTGTGACAGCAATTTAGTTATTATCAAAGCATACTATTTTTCTCAGCTCTGTAGATGCAACTTCATTGGCTATTCTGTGATGCATGACTTCCTTGGATGCCCAGTTTTTCTTAAGCTTAATAAAGACTCACTTTGTTAATAGATGGATGTCAATGTGCTGGCTGCCACATAAAGAATAGATCAAAGGAGTTTGGAGAGGGGTGGGCCAAGTAGCTGAAGGCCAGGTGAGAGGTGAAATTGCCATGAGTGAGAGTGGAGCCATGGGGAAGAAGAGACAAAAGCTGTAATCTAGAGGATGTGAGAAGAGAAAGATGTGAAAAAGTTCTTATACTGAAAGTCTTCAACTGTTTTTTAAATACTAGGAGTCAATAATGAGGGTAGATGTATGAAAAGTTAACAACGTAATTATAAACATCTAGTTAAGACTTTATATTAATTCTCATTAATTTTATTTATTTCATTTTAGCCCAAGCCTGATTATAGTGCCTAATAACTTCTAATGTTTATATTATGTCTGAGAACAAATTAGGAATTCTTTTCAGAAAGCTAAATGTTCTCTTCTGTTTCTGATACTAGCTCCTGAAATTCTTAGTTATGATCCTATCAGCATGGCAACAGATATGTGGTAAGAGTTATTTATGAAAAGTTGATCAAATTAGTTCCAAGAATTGAATATGATACTAATTTTCCCTACATTTTCTTTCTGATTTAGGAGCATTGGAGTGCTAACATATGTCATGCTTACAGGAATATCACCTTTCTTAGGTGATGATAAACAAGAAACATTCTTGAACATCTCACAGATGAATTTAAGTTATTCTGAAGAAGAATTTGGTGGTGTTTCTGAGTCAGCTATTGACTTCATCAAGAAACTTTTAGTTAAGAAACCTGAGTGAGTGTTAAGGTTCATCTTTATCTTTTGGGAGGCAGAAGTAGGGGGTGCTAAAGATCAAAAAAAGGGCCATGCACATGCTAGGCACGCACAACACAGCCTGATTCTTACCAGTTTACTTTTGTTACTGTTTTGGGACTGGGTCTACATATATATATAGCACCTGGCACTGTCCATTTAATCTAACCTTGGACTCCTTATCCTCCTACCTTAGCTAAGTAAATAAATGAGTGCCCCTGTGCCCAGATGTCAACAATTTTTGAGTGGCCTGCTCCAAACAAAAACAGTTCAACAAGTAAACCACCAAAAGAAAAGGCACAAAAATGTAGGCATAAACTAGATGAAATCCTTGGCCTGGTGTATCTGTTAAAAAAAAAAATGGCAAAAATTAGAATATATAGAAAATTTGAACTGCACCTCAGTATAATAGGACTGAAATATTAGCAAAACTGTATTATTAGAGAGATGTCATGCAGTGAGTGACAATCATAATTGCTGTTTAATAGAAATCGACAGTGAAGTAACAGCAGATACCTTCCAGTTGTTTCTGGTCTCTCAAGTTTTTCAGAAATGCTTCATTTAAAATACTATTCTTCATTAGTATGGGGAATTGTTTCCAAATTCCAAAACTTATGGTTTTATTTAGGAGTCACAATAAGTTTTTTGCTGACTCTTCTTACTTCTCAAAATATGATACAACAAATATTAGTAACTTATGCTCTAATTTTTAATGAAAGTTTTAATGTTTTGTGTGTGAAATGTATGTCTTTATACAGAGGTCGAGCTACTGCTGAAGAATGTCTAAAACACCCATGGTTGACACAGAGCAGTATTCAAGATCCTTCTTTCAAGGTGAAAGGAACATTAGAAGCAAATGTTCTTCAAGGTGATTTTGTGCCTGAAATTCATGCAGATATTGAAAAACCAGAAACTGAGGAATCACTTGTAACAGAAGAGTTAATTGTAGTTACTTCATATACTTTAGGACAATGTAGACAGTCTGAAAAAGAGAAAATGGAGCAAAAGGCTGTTTCCAAACGATTTAAATTTGAGGAACCTTTGCTACAAGAAATTCCAGGAGAATTTATCTACTGAGCAGTATTTTCCTTTAGAACTTTAAACTTTCTGCATTGAAAATGTTAATATTATTTATGGACTTCTGGCCAAATGGTATATGTACAGGAAGTGGATAACCAGGTATCACTAATGGAAACAAAAATAATTTTCTCAAACTTGTGGAGTTAGGAGATTAGATTTATAAAATTGCCAACCAGGATGTTTAACAGTTGATCTTTTTCAATGTTCTTGTTAAGAAGGGAGATGTTTGCACCTTTTAATTCTACATCCTGTTGTCTAGAATGAGAATTTATGTACAAAGATGTTTGTTTTCACTTTCTTAAAAATCCCAGTAAAAGTGCCAAAACTACATGTCTGATAAATCTCTTGATTTATTCATATGTGTATATTGATGTAATTTGGCTGTTATCTCTGGTTTTCCTAATGCTTTTAACCTATCAGTGGCTATTCTTTTTTTTTCCTTCAACATCTCTAATGAAGAGTGACAGGGCTGGAGGTGTGGCTCAAGCAGTAGAGCCCCTTCCTTTCAAGCATGAAACCCTGGGTTGGGGGGAAGTTGTGATTTTCACCTCTAGAACTATTACAGTTTTTGAGGTCTGGTTATGTGTGCCAATAATGTTAAATACATGTCAGCTACTATTTTGCTGTTTCCCTGATCACACTATAGTCTTCTACCCCTTTCTCAGACTAATCTCTGCCACCTTGCTCCTTCCTAATACTTTTGACTTCCTTCACAGATGTATTATAATGTAATTAAGACTATCATTGCTTTGGTCTCTGAAAAGATATTATTATACTGCTTTTTTCTCAAAGTTAATGAAATTTCCTAGAATAGAGTAGGAAGGGAAATAAAGCACATTCTGGCTGCTGAATTTCTTATCAGCCCTAATCTATATTAGGAAACATTATAAAATGCCATAATGTTTATAAACTGTTACATTGTCCTTTAAAAAAAAAAAATGGAATGGGTTATTTTGTCATTAGGGAAGTATCTTGTCCCAAAAGGATGTAAGGCCGGGGATGTTGCTCAGTGTAGAGTGCATAGGAGTAGAAACACACACACACCTTTCTCCTTCAATACAGTTTAATTTAATTAGGATTGAATATTGCAATGGTATCTAGACCCCACAGCAGATAGTAAATTCTTATCTAAAACAATGAAATACCAAATTGCATGCTATATAACTTAAAGTAACTAAATATCCTCACACAAAAAATTCTGAGATTCCTTAGTGCTCATTGTGTTAAATAGTCATTAATATATCTTGTTTGACACCTGTGTTGTAGCATATACACATGCCTGCACCCTGCTTGTGCTCTGTACTAGGAACAATTCAGACCTGATCAATTCAGTCTGATCAGGGTATCACAGAGCTCTTAGCCAAGCATTTCTCAAATGTCAAAATCATAACAGTGACAGCACCTACCTACCAATTTTAAAGTATGTGCAGCACTGTGTGCTAGACATTTCTTGAAACTAGCATTTCTAAACAAGCTCTGAAAAGGGGAAGAGGAAATTATGACTCAATGGCAGTTTCCAGTAAAAACCTATGACTACAATGCCTGGTCTCGGGTAAAACACAGTTTGAATCAAGTTTATATAACTGTCTTTTACAAAAATGGGGACGTTAAATGACTCTTCCCTGAAAAGATACTATTGAATAACACATTTGAACTAAATGGATTTCTTAAGTTTTAAAATCAGAATCATTTGAACTTCTTTAAAACTATTTAATATTACATTAATAATAAATATACTTAATGTAATTATTGCATGGAAAAGGTATGTTTTCTTTTAGCTGGCCAGTTTGCAGTTTGCTGCATACCTTGGCTGCTTTTGTGCCTTAATTTTGAGTTGTGTGATGCTTTTTTTGAAGAAGCCCTCAGGATATTTTGTAAAGGTATACTGTCATATTTTGGTTTATATGATATAAACAGATCATGAAGAATCTTCACAATATTAGGCCAAATAAAATCTATTAATAACTTGCTACCTAGCTCTCTACTTATCTGTGCTGTTAGTGTTTATTTTTTCTATTGCCAAATTTATAAAGGACTGAACAGTACTGTGTTAGTTTACTCATGCAGCTTATAAATCCAACTTTAATTATAACAACAGTAGACTTTAATGTGATGAAATGCTTATAAAATACAAAATGTGTTAGTATTATTCCAAAAGTGTCTCTTGGTGAGAACATTTTAATGTTGATAAAATACAATTTATTAATTTTTACCTAAGGTTAATGTTTTCTAGGGCTGGGAGTATGAGTCAAGTGCCTGCTAGCAAGCAAGAAGCCCTGAGTTCAAACCCCAGTACTACAAATATATATACATATACACACACACACACACACACACACATATGTCTAAAAATCATTTCACTGTTTATCTGTGGATTTACTTTTCTGTCTCAATCTGTTTCTTTTTCTTTGGTCAAGATTGTAAATCTTGCTGTAAGCAAAAATAAGCTTCCCAGTTTCTTTCCCAAAATTGTTTATTCCAGATCCTTTGCATTTCCAAGTTTTAGAAAGTAGCATTCCTTCAGTGGATAGTGAGATTTTTTTGTTTTCTTTTTTAAGATTTTTTTGCTTGGCCTGGAACACTGCATCCTGCTTCAGCCTCCCACATGCTGGAATTACAGGCACATGCCACCACACCAGGCCATCTTGTAGGATTTAGATTCAGATACTAAACAGTTGAACATTTTAACAGTACTGAATCTTTTAATCATACAGCATGCCTTTTCATTTTATTTTTCTTGGCAGCGTTTTATGCTTTTCAATGTAGAGATCTTTCACATTCTTCAATTTTTTTTTTCTTTTGACAATTCTGAGGCTTGAACTCAGGGCCTCCTATTTGCTAGGCAGGTGCTCTTTCACTTGAGTCATGCCCTAGCCCTTTTTGCTTTAGTATATTTTTGAGGTAGACCTCATTTTTTTTTGTCCAGGGCTGGTCTTGACCATAATTCTACCTCCTGCATTGCTGTGATGACAGTATGTGCCACCATGCCAGCTTGTTTATCTTTTGGTTTTTGTTTTTTTTTTTTTTTTTTGCAGTATTGGGGTTTGAACTCAGGGCCTACACCTTGAGTCACTCCATCAGCCATTTTTTTGCAACGGGTTTTTTCAAGATAGGGTCTCATGAACTGTTTGCCTGGCCTGGCTTTAAACCATGATCCTCCTGATCTCTGCCTCCTGAGTAGCTAGGATTACAGGCGTGAGCCACTGGTGCTTGGCTTTTTTTTGTTTACTTTTTATACTCCAAATCTTCCAGATCTTGTTTGTTTTTAGCTCATTGAACCCAACCAGAACTATGTTATAAATTGTTTAAATGTCTTTTTTTCTGAAACTCTTCTTGATAATACTGGGCATAAGTCTGCTGAATTGAAATTCATAGTAACAGTATTAGAAAGAATAGTGCCTTCCTCATTTTCCAAATTAGATATGAAATGATGTAATTTCAGGGACTAATACGATTTACCCACTATCTCATAGCTAGCTCCTGGCAAATCATTAACGCTTTCCTGAGTGCTAGTCAAGAGCTTTTGTGTCTGTGGTGTCTACCTTTAGCTACATTTTAATGTTCGTAACACAGTATATTTTTTTTTAATTTTGTGTAACTTAATTTTGGATTTTTAATTTTTTTTTTCATTTTGCAGTACTAGAGATTGAACCTAAGGCCTTGCTCATGCTAGTAGTTTTTTTTTTTTAATAACTAGAGGGTAAGTATCCTGAGATTAGGTTAATGCACATGTCAGTACACTATAGGTCATGTAGCCTGTTTTGGCAAATGAGGTTTCATTGGAACACAACCTTGCCCGTTCACATTTTCTCTGTGTCTACTTTCTACTAAAACTTCAGGGTTGAATATAGTAGTTGCTGACAGAGGTCTTATGGCTGTTACAGCCTTTTCAGAAAAAGTTTGCCAACCCCCAGCTTTTATAATGGAAGCATATTTAAAACAGGAAATACCTTCTATTTAAAACAACCATTAATGCAGTCCTTTTGGGGAGTGGCTTATTTTACATGTCACAATAATCTTATGACTTTGATTATATTCCTTCTTACAGAAGTGAGGATTTTTATTTACTAGAAATTTTGTACTAAACATGTTAACAATACTATAGCATCTTTTATATAAAAATGTTTCGTTAGTTTCAATAAATTGTGATGGGTTTTTATGGATGTTAGTATCTCTAGTTATCTCTATTAAAATCATCAGCTTTCTAATAAACTGAGAAAAATGTACCTAGGAGAATATGAAACAAAGTATTTGGAAGAAAGTATGTTTAATCCCTAGTTGGGAATTATTCAGGAAAGAGACTGTTGCCTCATCCCTGCCCTTTTAAAGCATCATCCTTGTCCTGTGTGGCTTTTGATTTCTAAATAATTAGAGAGTTAGAAAGATAGGACAGCTACATCTTATAACTGTAGCACAATATCAAAACCAGGAAACTGACATTAGTGCAATGTCGGTGTATGCCATTTTGTCACATGTAGCTTCCTGTAACTAACATCATTGAGATAGGAAACTATCTCATTGCCATGAAGATACCATCTTCAACATCAGTTAATGTCATGTCAACATTTTATCAGTGAAATGCATAACCTGTGTCCCTTGCTGGTCCTCTCCCCACTCCCATTTATCATTGCCTTAAATATTTGTCTATTTAAAATTTAATCTATTAAAAATTTGTCTACATAATTGAACTCCACATCACACGATGTTAATGTATTTTGCTTACACCATCAAATAATTTAGAAAACTAGAGGAGGAACATCTACCTATATGTTTATTTTTTCCATTGTTCTCATGTTCCAAGCTTTTTTTTTCTTTTTGGTGCTGGAAATCGAACATAAAGCCTCATACATGGCTAGACAAGTGTTGTACCACTGAGCTATACCCCTAACTGGATTGACTGCTTTTTTTGTCTTCAAGTTCACTGGTTCTTCTGTCCTCTTCACTCTGCTGTTTAGCCTGTGCAGTGACATCTTAATTTCAAGATTTTTTTTCAGTTGTAAAATTTCCATTTGATCCTTCTTTGCTGAAACTTTTTTTGGTTCAGGCATGTTCACAAGAGCTCATTGAAGTTTTTTATTTTTTAATAATTGCTGTAAAGTCTTTGTCAGATAATTCCAAAATATGTCATACTGGGTTTGGTGTCTGTTGATCTTCCCTCATACAAATTGAGATTTGCCTTGTTATTAGTATGAAAGCATGGCTTTTCATTGCATACTGATCATTTGAGATTTTTGGATTTTATTTAAATTATGTTTTAGTAGATCTCCAACCCCACACCATGGACACAGTTTCACTTCTGCCAGGGAGGGGTGAAGGCTTGATTCCCACCA